ACGTACATCAGTGTTCACGTGGACGTTGACAGGTGGGATCGGATGGAGTTTACCTGGACAAAAGTGTGTGTGTGTGTGCGTGTTGACGACAGTCAAGTTCGTGTGACACCGTCACAACTTAGCAGCACTTTGTTTCTAGTGGGAGCGCGAGCGTCCAGGGCAGAAGAGAAAGAAGTCAGGAGAGCTTCCGGGTTTGCTAGTTTAGCTGCATGGGCTTGGAGATTCCTCCTCGGGTCCACCTTTTAAAAGAGGCTGTTAAGAGGTGTGACCAGACTTAGGCCTCCGACCTCCTGGAGATGGGAATTGGGTGACCAGGAAAAAAGAAACTCACTTCTTCCTATCTGGCCACTAAAAAGAAAACTTGCAAGTATCCAGACTCTTTAGAATCTTCTTACGGTGACATAATTTGCAGGTGATTCTCTCTGCATTATTTTTTTGGTTTAGTTTTCTCTTCTAAAATTGTAGATTATAAACACATCCTTCCCTAGATTAAACTTGGTAGAAAAAACTCTATTAAATAAGGACATAACTTGTTTTCTGAATCATTTTGGCCATTTGGAACGGCACCCGTGAACGTATTGAATCCCCATACCGTTAGCTTTGGTTTCTAGGAAATGACTCCCTCCTCCTAGACCAGAAGCTCGGCCAGCCCCTTGCTGCGCCCCTGACTCCCCTGGGGGAGTAGAAGCCCTGAGCCCCTCCCCCACACCTCGCCTCTTGCCCGCTGCCTGCACGCATTCTCCTCTCGTTCTTCACACTCTGTGTGGCCTCTGCGCCCTGCGCCCTGCTGCTTACCCACCAAGGTGTGGCACCGTGGGTTTCCCCTCTCCACTGGTGCAAGCTCAGCATGTGTGTAATTTGTTTGTTTCGAGTGTCGGGAGGGCCTAGATACATGAACTTGGCTTCCAGAGACCTGTTAGTCATCAGCCAATTTTTTTTTTTTTTTTTTTTTTTTCCCAGGCAGAGTGGACAGTGAGAGAGAGAGACAGAGAGAAAGGTCTTCCTTTTGCCGTTGGTTCACCCTCCAATGGCCGCCGCGGCCGGCGCACCGCGCTGATCCAAAGCAGGAGCCAGGTGCTTCTCCTGGTCTCCCATGGGGTGCAGGGCCCAAGCACTTGGGCCATCCTCCACTGCACTCCCTGGCCACAGCAGAGAGCTGGCCTGGAAGAGGGGCAACCGGGACAGAATCTGTTGCCCCAACCGGCACTAGAACCCCGTGTGCCGGCGCCGCAGGTGGAGGATTAGCCTAGTGAGCCGCGGCGCTGGCTAGCCAATGGCTCCTTAGATTTCAGGACATATACCCTGGTGGACGGGGCCTTTCAGTTGCATTGGAGGGTCCCGATGTGTAAATGCAAGTCAAGGCTTCTGCCCCCGGGGAAGTGGCTCCAGAGGTCAGGAGGAGAATGAATGAATGAGCTAAGGTGGGAAAGCAGAGGAACAGTGCCCAGCCTCACTCACCATCTGCCTGGTGCACAACTGGGACAACCCCACCAAAGAGAAGCTGGGCTGAAGTCAAGTACTCCCAGGGACATCAGAAGGCTGCCGGACATTCCAGCCTTCCCAGGGCCTCTAACTTGAGTCAGAGCCCGACTTCCTGGGGCTCATCCTCTGGCCACCCACGCACCCATCCACTGTTCACTCATCCTGCACAGTTGCTGGCTGAGTTTTCCCATGGCCCAGTTGCTGCATGGGCAAGCAAGGGTGGGGGAATCTCCCGACCCTGAGTCTGACTCCAGCGCTGTCCAACACAGGTGGTGATCAGGGATACAAGCCCATCCCACCTCCCCTCCCCTCAAATTGCCGGTCCCAGAAGAAGAACCACGGCCCCGAGTGGTGTGGAGCCAGCCGGAGCCCGCAGTTGGGTCTAGTAGGGTATTCCTCCCCCACCCCCAACACTTAGTCCAGCTCTGCTCCTTTTCATAGTCCTCTCTGATGCAAAACAGGTTGTATGCAGAAGCTTCTAATATGATTTTCTTGTGGATTTTCCCTAGTTTGGCATTTATTAGAAACAACTTGGGAGTTTCAGTGGGTGATAGGTCATCTTACCTAGGAGCTGGTCTCTCCTCTGTCTCTTGCCTGGTTGGATGACTGATTTATCTTTGAGTGGACTCAGGGGTGTTACCCAGTCTTTCATCCCACCTAGCGTGCAGGTGGGTGGAGTACGTGTGTGCCCTGGCTGGAAGGGATGCGGCCCTTGATGCACTGAGCCTGAGCCCCGTCTCCTCTTTGTTTACTGCATTGATTATGGTTTTTATTTGATCTTTTCTTTAGTTGTTCTCATACAACCCACATTCCATGTTATTTGTTTTTTTGTTCTGGCTTTTTAAAAATTTTATAGGGATCTAAATTATAGAGTCTACCTCTCAGCACTGCTCTGTCTCAGTTGTCAGTTCATTAAAAAGTTTTTGTTTCGCCTTCATATTATTTCAGCATGACATGTTTCAAAAAAAGACATTTTGAGAAATCTCTTTATTTAACTCCCTGAAATCATTCCAGAGCTTAATTAGAAGAAGCATATTGCTACTGTTTGGGTACTATCTGGAGGCAAAATAATTACCCTGTAATAATAATGCATGTTCTAGTAACTTGTCATTGTTGGCACAGAGCACTGGAGACAGTGTCTTCTCAAAGCTCGGATGCGCCCGTGGTTGCCCTGGGGAGCAGCCGAGGCCTAACGCTGAGGAAAGCATGAAGGAGACACAATGGCCCCAGATCAGTTCCTGTGCCTCGTTTGCACCCCCTCAATAAGGACAGGGCGTTGGTGTCCACAGATGCTGGGGGTGCCCTGTGACTCCTGAGGTTAACGCCCTGTGCACCCCAGAGGGGATCTGAACCCCCCTGTCAAGCGTCAGGTGGGCAGGGAAGGCCCCCTGCCCCTTAGCCTCACACCCTGGGCTTCTGAGGCTTGGGCCTGGTGCAGCAGACCCTGGCCCGGGATGGGAGGGCTGAGTGGACAGTAGCCAGGCGTCCGAGATGCACACACCATGTCCTGAATTTGTAATTTTTGCCCTGGATCCTGCACTGATTCCTCAGGATTCCCTAAATGTTCTGTTTTCATCATTTTCTTCCCATCAGTTATAAAACTGAGCAATGAATGCCTGTACTTGTGAAACCTGGCGACCCTAGGACTGGGGGTGCTGCTGCCGGGCTGTGGTTCCTGCTGATGGACGAGGCAGCCATCTCCACGTCCTTCCATCAATCTCTGGTCGTGATTGGGCATGGGGTGTAGTGAGTTTTATTTCAGGCTCTTGCCTTGCAGTAGACAAGCATTCTGAGTGCAGACGTCTAAGATGCACAGAGTGATAAGCTTCATTCAAAAGGTGGCAGAGTGACCACACACACAAACCTGAACATGGTTGTCCTGCACAGAGAATTACCCGTCATGGGTGGGCGGTGGGACAGAAGATCGCTGGAGAGGAGGTGGGGTGGGGAAAGGGAGGGGGCTCACGTACGCAGTGCCTGCAGCCTTGGTCCACGGAGGAGAGAGTGGGCTCCCCTAGTTGTTGGGTTTGTTTGTGAGTCGGGGTGGTGTCTCTCCACGCGTGAAGCCACCTGGCACGTCCACAAGTTCCAGGTGGAGCTCAAGAGGCACCTTTTCTGGCGTCTCTCCTTTAGGTCCCTGATGAAGCAGGTGCATCGGGAAAGGGGGCGTTTGGAAGGACAAGCAAGAGGATGGAATTGCTTGGGGGCTTATGCCCTCCAGCTCAGGACCTAACTGACTTGCTGCCTGCTTATCCCACGCGCATCAGCGTCCCCAGGGAAGAGCTCCTCCAGCTGTGTCTGCTATTTTCTTCAGTGGCTAGGGCAGCAGCGCTAGCCACCCCAGGCCGTGTGGGGCCCCTGGGTGGGTCCTAGGTCTAGGTCCTGCTGGTGGTATTGCTGGCGCTGGCGGTGTCATGCCTGAAGGCCCTTCCTTGGGGCTGTCCTCAGGATGCAGTGACTGGTGGGGGCTGGGGAGAGCAGCAGGTGCCTGTAACACCCTCCCTGAGGCCCGGGTGGAGATTCCCTTGCTCGCCACTCCAGGCTCCCTGGCCTGTGGCGGCTCTGGGGCGGCCAGGGCTCCGGGCTTCTCCTGGCTGTTTGGCTGGGGCGGTAGTGATGACAGGGAGCAGCGGCTGCCAGTGAGTAACCCAGATTTCCCTACCGCTGCCTACTGTCTAAATAGAGGAAGTGTAATTAAGTTTATTATCTGTGACCTAACGCTAATGCCTCTTGCATCCTTGCCTGTGTGCACAGGGGGAAGGGCCATTTAAAAAAGGAGGCGCTGGACCCGGCTTTCTTTCTGTACACACTTTCGGGGGCAGTGAAACGAATCCACTGAATGAACAGGCTTGTGAAGGGCAGTACGCCCGGCTCTTAGTGGCAGCTGAGGTTGCTCATCTCAGCGTAGAATAGTAAGAGCCACGGCGTGGAAGAGTGTGCTGAGAACTGCACAGTCACAGCACGTCTCAGGGTTAAAATTCCTGCTAAGTTTCTGGTCCCATCACTTTTGCATCTACTAAAACTTTTTAATTCTCTTTGCAAACAGGGATCAAAATTAGCAGGCGCTGGCTGGGCCAGATGAGACTGGAGTTCGCTGCACTTCCTAGCATCCACTATTCCAAGCCTGATAGCTCGTTAGAGCACTTTTAAATGCAGGACTTAGAAAGCTGCCGAAGCAAAGATCATTTTAATAATAGACCATTAAGACATCACAACTTGAGAGAAGGATTTCATTTGCAGATTTTCTATTTTTTTAATTAGATTTTTTTAGTGATACTTTTCAAATGTTACTTTCCGAAGCTGCTATTTTGGTCTATTTCTCTCATTCCGCGTCTGCTGATTTTCTTGATTAATTCAGAGAACATCTGCATATAATTCTGTGCGCTTTTCCTTGGCAGAACCTCAGAACTTGAACTCACATTCCAGACGGTCTGGGAGGGTATCTAATTGAAATGCCAACCTGGTACAGGTGCCAGAGCTGAAGTGTGTAATTATGTAATTTTCTCTTGATCTTCTAGGGTCTTCCTGCGTGCAATTAATCAGTATGCAGATATGCTGAACAAAAAATTTCTGGATCAAGCCAACTTTGAGCTACAGGTAAGAGAAGAGGTAGACACGACCTTTGTGGATAAATCGTGTTAAAACAAATTGCCGGTCTATGTCGATCTCTCACATTCCTAATCCTCCGACTTAATTGGCCTCCCCTCTGCGGTGTGGAAGTGGAATTTACAATGTGCACTCCTGGAACCAGGAGCCAAAATTATGCCTTCAGGGCATTTGCTCAATTTAGCAAGGAAGGAGATGGAGTTGTTCAGAGAGAAACTGTTGAATCCGAGTGACAAGGAGGGAAGCCAGAGCAGGAAGGTGTGAACCTCGGTGGGTGTGGCTGCCAGGGTTGCCAGGAGGGGATCTGGGGACAAGCAGGTTGGCACCAGGGGGCTCAGCTTCCTTCCCAGGGGATATTCTCTCCCAGCCTCGGGCTACCCACAGGCCAAAGACCCGACCTCGTGACCCCGAGACGCCAGGGGTGTTGTTGCTGGCATGTGAGTTTCAGGAATGCCTCCTCAAAGCACGTGGTGTGTGTGTGTGCACGAGTGCACACGTAAGCGCACACCTGCACACACACGGGTCGTGAGGCCTGATTGCTTGTTGTGCACCTGTGAGATTTGTAGGCCTGGGGGCCCCCTACGCCCCTTGCACTCTGGCTGTGTTTCTACTGGTGATGGTTTATTTGTCATCACTGTTACTTTGATTATTTGATGAAGGTTTAGAGATACAAAGAAGCTCACCAAGGCAAATACGATGTCTGTTTCCAGGGCCAAATTGTTCCCTGAGAGGGAACCTGAAGAATTTATGTATACTTGGTGGGTGAGTCAGCCCAAAACTGTATCAGAGATAACAAAAATAAACAGCCATCTCTTCTCATTTGCATTACCTGCAAAAAGCCTGGAACCAACGTGACACTTAGTGCAGTAGATCACGTTAAGGCACCCATGCCCTTATTTCTTTTGTAGATTCATAATTGTGAATTTCTGCTTTATTAGCATTATAGAATATAATGACATGACAATATATCAGGCACTATATATCTAGAAATATTGCTTTTCATAATTTTAAATTTGTGTCATTTATCTGCTTCCTGCATATTTTCAAATGTCATAAACACGATATGCATGCAGTGTACATCAGTTTATAGAGCAAAATGTGAAATACCCCTCCCACACTTGGCCTGTGCTGCGGCCCACCGGCCAGAGTAACGCTGAACCAATTGCTCTGAGCCCCTGCCAACACCTTCAGCGTTTGTGTAGGCCACTGCACCTTTGCCAGGGCTGTTAACGTCGGGTGGTTCACACTGTGTGACGTACGTTTCTGGCATATTCCTCGGTACAAACACACCAACATTTACTCAGCCATCCCTGTACTGAGGGCCCGGGCAGTTCCTGGTTTCTCACTCTCACAGGCTGTGCTGGCCAGGACTGTCTGAGACACGTGCAACCTGGCGCCCCCATGGCTGCCTGAGCTGTCAGATAGCAGTGTGGCTTGAAATTCGGAGGCTGCTGGACAGCGATCAGTCGCCCTCTTGAAAGCCTTCGTGTTTTGCAAGGCCACCAGCCTTCTTCAAGAACAGCCGCTCTCTAGGATCGAATCCAGTATGTTTTCTCCAAACTTGGCGATGTTGCTTCTACTGGCTTTTTTCCGATGATGCGTTAGGCTGGGAATGTGGAGCAGCTTTGTGGATTTCTGCATGAACTCGTGGATCACTCCCTCTGCTCGCTTCTCTATGGGGCAATTTGTCTTTCTTTTTTGTAAGTTAGAAAACTTGACATGACCCAATAGAAATATTAGATTTTCTGCAGTCAAATTTGTCATTTCCTGTATGGTTCTCTGGTTTTATTTACTTATTTATTTATTTTTGGCAAATCCTTCCTTGCCTCTGTACTATAAATTTAACTGTTTTTTATATAATTAGGCTCGACTAATACCTTTATGGTGTTAAACCCATCTGGGGTTTCTATAGTTAGTGTTAGGGATAAGGATGTAACTTCACTTCTTCCCACATCATTTCAGGAATAGCTTGTATTTTTCACCAGTTATTTGAAAGGCCAGTGTTAACATAATTGCAAATGTGTGTGTATTCCAGTTCTGTGTCTGCCCAGAGTGGCTTAATTGCTACACCTTATGGCCAGCTGGTGGAGTCAGTACTCCCCATTAGTTTTCTGTTGCAAAATTATCCTGCCTACTTTTCTGCGTTTCCGCTTCTGTAGGAGGCTTGAAATCAGCCGAGTTTCTTCTTCACGCCATGCTGCTCGAACTTTAATTGGAAGTTCATTGAATTTATCAACCACGTTGGGGAGTTGCGTAGCATTTGAGGGGGCGTTTTGCAGGCTTTCCCCATCCATTCTGGAATGTTCCAGTCTTCTTTTCGTGCCCTTCTCTGGTTCTACGCATAGCAGCCTTGCCTGTGGCTTGCAGGTTGGATTCTTGTGTATTTTCCATCCTGGCTGCAGCGAGGGAAGTGTCCTTTATCCGGGAACAGTGGTTATCGCTACTCTTTGTTGTTGTTTCGTAAATGCGGTTTCCCCAGCTTTCAAGCGCCCTGAGAGTAAAGTCTCTTTAAGTCCACCCCAGAGCTCTGCCCCGGGGCGGGTGGGAGGACGTGTGCGCTGGAGTCGTCGGCCACACCACACCTGCTCCTGGCTCAGCGTGGTCCTAGAAGTGAAAAGAACTAAGGAGTTAGTGAAGCCGACGCTGTAGCAGGGGCGCTGGCGTTTGTCACCATTGCTTGTCGCTCCCCCTCTTCGTGGAGGAGCAACACTGAACCCTGCCTAGGCTTCATATCCGAGTCACGGCACCATTATGTCGCTCCCCCTCTTCGTGGAGGAGCAACACAGGACCCTGCGCTGTTCTCTCGTCTGCTCGGCCCTCCCCGGGTTTGCTGCTGGTTCTTCCCAGGTTGGCTACTATCCCTTCCACCTCCGTGGAAGGGCAGTTCCCCCTGGCCACATTCCCCACTTCCGCAGGGGAGCGGCACACCGCCGGCCGGCTTTCTCGGGGGCTGCACGGGTTCCCTTAGATGTTCCCCATAGATGTTCCCTGGTGCATGCCGTCTCTCTCCTCCTTTATAGTCCTCCTCCGCCAATCCTAACTCGGCTGCCCACACGCCGAGTACGCTGCTCTCCTCCAATCAGGAGCAAGTCCTACAGTTTATTAGTTGAACTGGAGGCAGCTGTGCAGAAGCTGTTTACTTCTCTCCCAGCGCCATATTGTGGGAGAGCAGATGCATAGAATAAGTCTTAATTCGAGTAACTTAGTCTAGTCCGGATTGCTCCCCACAATTGCTGTGTTTGGAGGCAGCAGGTGTTCCCTCAAGTGTGGCGTGGCCTGTGCCACGCGGGTCCCCTTCCAGCCAGGCCCCCGAGCGGGTCTCCGAGTACAGCCGGCAGTGGCCAGTGACTCTGCCCAGTGCTAGGCCAGTGCGGCCGCAGGTGAGAGGACCTGGATTCAAAAACAAAAGGAAGGGAACAGCTTGTGTTTTTGGACCAGAGCCGCCTCTTTTATCAGAAAAGAGGCCCAAAGAGCAGTGCGTTTGTGGGCAGTGAAGGAGTGAGCGGTCAGAACTGCTGGCTCAGACCCTCGCTCTGCCTCGCCTGTTACCTGCAGCACTGGGCGAGTCTCGGAATATCACCTGGGGAGTGGGCACAGCTGTGCCTCCTTGGTTAGCCTTTGGCCGTGCGTGAGCCACGCCTGAGCCACACGTGAGCTGGTGGACTACAACGGAAAGCGTCCAGTTCCCGAGAAGTGCGAGATAATTGGAAGCCCAACCAACTCTTCTTAAATCCTCTAAATTCTCCAAAACCTCTGCTTCCTTCGCAGGCAATTAGCAACAGTCAGTCCCGTGCGCACCTCACTTTCTCTAACTCCTAACGCTACCTCGTTTGCTGTAATCAGTGTTATCCCTGGTGTATACACGATCAGACCAGCACCCACTCATTTCTTCGCAGGGGCATTGGTTTTGAAGCCACGTATGCTCTGTAAGCCCTCGAAATACGAACTGTTGGATTATTTTTACAGCTGTTTTCCTTAAATGTCTCGTGTATATAACATTGGTGTAAATCATAAATTGTCAAGATGTTTGTATCTATTTATGTGTGGGGTTCCACTTAAGTGACACCCTGACAGCAGGGACTCCATTTTGGAGCACTTGAGACTCCATTCTGGGAAGGTGCCCCCCCCCACACCGGGAGACTCTGGTCTGAAACGAGGATCTAAAACGGTCGGACAATAGCAGTTCACCACATCACACTCGGCAGAGCACAGAAACCCCCTACATGATCGCTCAAGCTTGGAAGCGGATAGGCTGCACCGGGGTTAATGATAAAAATGTGGTTTGTCTGTGTCCTACATATGATTAAAACCAACACCTGGATTAATGTCAGGATTATAATTGGAATTGCTAAGATTGTAACTGGTATTGTCAAGCTTATAATTGATACTAGTTTCGCATAGGTTTTAGGTCAGCTTGACCCTGGTAACCATGTATTCCCCCCTGTTCCTAGCAACCATGAATTCCCCTCCCGATATTGTGGTTTTTGCCTTTATAAACCCTGTTGCTTTGGGCTCCAGGGTCGAGAGTTCTTTGGGGCATGAGCCCACTCTCCACCGCCGGCAATAAGGGACCATCCGATTGTATCAGCGTGTGGAGCGCCTTTGTTTGCACTCGCTCAGGTGCAACACCGTGGCAGGACACTAGCAATAGCTAATCAGGATCAGGTGCTCCTGGCAGGGTTTGAACAATGGTCAGGACTCTGCACTTACTTCTTGCTGGTTCCTCCCAGCGGCCCTGCAAGGCAGAAACCAAGTGGAAACTGAGGCGCAGAGCCAGGTCAGATCAGCTGTCCCAGCGACTTGCAGAGTGTGCACACGCTCAGCCCTGGACTCCCGGTGGCGGGCAAGCACCTTTGTGGTTTGAGAAACACTGCTGGCGTGCGGGCTAAGCCACTGGCCCACCTCCCAGCGCGTCTTTGACCCCCGCGTTAAGCCATTCAGCCTCTTAGTGTCTCTTCTTTCTGCTTTTCAGCTGTGGAACAACTACTTCCACCTGGCTGTTGCTTTCCTTACGCAAGAATCCTTGCAGCTGGAGAACTTTTCAAGTGCCAAGAGAGCCAAGATCCTTAACAAGTAAGTCTTCGTCCCGCTCAGCAGCCCCGCCAGGAGCCCCTGACGCTCTTAGCATAATGTTCCGGTAGAGGCTAAGCCAGCTTGGCACAAATTGCGATGTAGTCACGGTGTACTGAAATCAGGATCAGGAACTGCCTTTTCTAACCCCGGAATCAAGATGTGAAATCACGGGGTTCTTCGTGGGAGGTTCAACGTTAGTGCAGTCCCAGACTATCAGCCCAACACAGAACTCACACTTTCAGAGGTAATTGCTTCCGCCGGGCACTGTCCCCATGTCACTGCACGTGGGTGCCTGTATCGCTCAATCCTTCAGTCCTGCTTCTGAGAAGGGAGTTTCTGGCAAGAGCTGGCAGTGCTGTTGGGCTTGTCGAACAGCTCGCCGTGGAGTTAGCGCTGTTGCTGAACTGTCTGTGGCCTCCCCCTGCGCGGCAGCCAACACCTGTCTTCTTCCCAGCCGTTCTGAGCGGACGGAACCAGCCCGGCCTCGGTGCGAGCAAACCTCCAGGAGCTCCCCAAGGCCAAGGCCGTGCCTGGCTCCCTGAGCTCTGCAGCCCCGGGGCCTCCTGCTCCTGAGGGTTTGCTCCTGAGGTATGGGCACCCGAGGCTCTGGGTCCTCTCCTGCCTCAGTTTCCCTGATTTCTCCCTGCGCCCTTGGGAAGAGTTCCAGCCCTGCTCCCAGGCTGCCGAGTCTTCCTTCTTCTGCAGTCTCCCGATCGTTCCAAGGCTGGCACCCCACCCCACCCCCGCCTCCACCCCCACCGGGCCCCGAGGTCGGCGATTCCTGAGGACTCCTCAGACGATGGCAGCTGCCCAGCCTTCCTCGTACTCCGTCAGAGCGCAGCCTCCATGCAGGGCAGAGCACAGCATCTCTGGGGAGCAAGAATTATCTCGGCAGCGGTGGACTGGGCTTGCTCTAAGTGCTCCATGGGCATTTTTCACATACGCTAAGTGCAGTCATTAAAAAAGAAAAAAAGCAGACCTCGCCATTAAGCCCTGTTTTCATCTTCACTAGTTCCAGATGCGGAGGGTGGAGCTGTGTTCTCTCCAAGTCCCTGGGCCAGTCACAGGCCCCGAACGCACAAGGCAGCATCCTGCCTGGCCGTGCCCAGCCCCAGAGCTCAGCCTGGGCTGCTTTCAGGATCTTCCAGCCATGGTCTGTAGCTGTCGCACTGGAAGACAGCTTTCTCCGGGCCGTCTTTCCTGAGTTCGGCACCTGCTGTCTGATAACCTTTGATGGAAACAGTGTTCCTTGCTCAGAAAAGGGAGGTGCACCTGCCGAGCCACGCACCAGAACGAGGGAGGCCCCGTGTGTGCCCGCGGCCCGCAGGACTGCCTGCATGGTGCACCTCCTTGAGGCCTGCTGGGGACTTTGTCCCTCACCTTGGCTCAGTGTTGAGAGACAGGTGTGCCAGTCTGCACCGTCCGGACACTGGCCTAGCAGGGGGGCTCTTTGGGGCTCACAGGAAGTGAGGTGAGGCTGCTTGTGGCCACGGCTGTCGGTGTCCTTTGGCTGCCCTCATGGTGCCAAGTGCTGTAAAACGGTAACCGGCACACACTGAGCACATCACCACACAACCCCTGCAGCACAGACGACCTCGGCTTGTCCTGGTTCACTAACGAGGGCTCAGCCTCAGCAGGTGGGATCACCTGCCCGTGTGGGGTGAGGTGAGGCGGGGATGCAAACGCAGCTCCGGCTGACTTTGGAACCCGCTCACTGGCAAGCATGTGGCGCTCCCTGGCCTTGGAGGCGCCTGCGGGGGCGGACAGGTGCATCAAGCTGAAGTCTGCCCCAGAAGAGCTGGCGTGTCCTTTGAGAGCTTCGCAGTAAAACACTTTTGTGCTGAGCACTCTGCAGGCCAGCGCGAGGAGCACCGCCCGGGGCCTCCCCTTGCTGGTGTGAGTGTTAACAGCTTCAGCTAAAACAGCATCAGCGAATGCATTAAACGCACAGGGCCTTGGCCGCCAAAGGAAACATTTGCTTCCCACGCCGCTGTGTGGACGCAGAGGCTTCAGAGCCAGGGAACATTAAACACCGCCAGCTGGTGTCTCCCCTCGGCGCAGGGCCTCCGCCTTCCCGTTCTTGCAACTGGGGTAACGAGACCTGGGACTCCCCTTGTCCCCTCCCACGGGGATTTCCTGGGGAAGGACACCTGAGCATGTCCCCAGGCAGCTCTGCAAGGCTCTGGCAGGACGGCCTTGGGCCCCCATGGACTGTACTCCATGTGGGGCGGTGACAGGTGACTGAGGACATGGTGTTCTTTGTGCCGGAGTTAAACCTGTGACCCCTGAGGCTGTGCAGCATAAACCACAGGGCAGGTGCACCTGTATTTGCTGTATTCCTCGTGCCCTTTTACACTCTGTGCCCACTTTGTAATCTGTTTGCAGATTTTGTTTCTGTGTAACTAAGCCAGCATAAGGAACTTTTCAAGGTGTTTACCCCAGTGCCTAAGTCTTGTAGGCACACAAAGTATCTAGAAATATTTTTTTTAAAACTGACTATGGGCTGACGCCTTGGCTCAGTAGGCCTCCACCTGCCGCGCAGGCACACCGGGTTCTGGTCCTGGTCGGGGCACTGGATTCTGTCCCGGTTGCCCCTCTTCCAGGCCAGCTCTCTGCTGTGGCCCAGGAGTGCAGTGGAGGATGGCCCAGGTCCTTGGGCCCTGCACCCGCATGGGAGACCAGGAGAAGCACCTGGCTCCTGGCTTCGGATCAGTGTGGTGCGCCGGCCGCAGCGCGCCGGCCGCGGCGGCCATTGGAGGGTGAACCAACGGTAAAGGAAGACCTTTCTCTCTGTCTCTCTCACTGTCCACTCTGCCTGTCAAAAAAAAAAAAAAAAGATTATCTGGTAAGAAGGGATTGTGCCTATTCCGTGCTCAGGCAGGGCTTGGCTTTGATGCTACGGACAGAGAGGGAAGACACCTCATGGAGGGATGTTCACAGCCTAGTGGGAGAGGCGGAGAATAAGTAATGTGTGGAGCAGTAGTTGGGACGAGGACTGAGGACCCTGGCGGCCAGCAGGGGGCCCTGCAGAGCCCAGCATGGGGAGCCAGAGGGTTCCCCGCATTGTGGACCGCCCAGCTGGCTGGGAAGAAGGCCGGGAAGTCTGCTAGCTGAGAACACTAAGAGCTGGTCCGACACCAGGCCAAGGGAAACAGTCCAGTCTCCAAGCAGGAAGAGGCTCTGGGTGGTCGAAGCAGAAGGGAGTAGCAGGGCCTGGGGCTCGGGGCTCGGAACACAGCACGAGATGCTGGTGACAGTGGAATTGACCCCACAGGTCTGAGCCAGTGGCTGGTTGCTGATTTGGAACATAGCGGAACAAAATGCCTGCCCTGATTTTTTTGAAGATTTATTTATATCTTTATATAAGGCAGAATTACAGAGAGGCAGAGAGAGAGAGAGAAAGTCTTCCATCTGCTAGTTCACTCCCCAAATGGCTTCAATGGCTGGAACTGGACTGATCCGAAGCCAGGAACCAGGAGCTTCCCCTGGGTCTCCCATGTGGGTGCAGGGGCCCAAGCACTTGGCCCATCTTCCACTGCTTTCCCAGGCCACTGCAGAGAGCTGGATGGGAAGTGGAGCAGCCGGGACTCGAACTGGCATCCATATGGGATGCTGGCATTGCAGGCAGTGGCTTTACCCGCTACGCCACAGCGCCAGCCCCGCACTGATCTTTTTCTAGAAGGAAAGCCCTTAGGGTCTCAGAGAGAGAGAGCAAGCGCCCACATCACGCCCACTTAGCAGCCCCAGGAGTGCCCCTCACTGGGCCTCCCTGCTACGCCATGAGTTCAGCCACAGGAATCTGAATGGGGTCCCTCGCCCATCCCAGCCAGCCCTTCCCCCTCCCTGCCAAGCCCGGCAGCTCTTACCCGGCACACAGCAGGAGACTCCGTCGTCAGAAGCCCTGCCCGTCCACTCCTGCTTGTTTGCTGCTCATCCTGGTGACAGAGGTCGGGAGGGATAATGAGGACACCCCTGCCAGAGACACTCCCCAGAGCACAAGGGAAGAACGTGGCCGAATGGGCCTCACCACGCAGAGGGCTGACGGTCACAGCCGCACTGAGGGTGAGGCTCGCCAGTGAAGCCAGAACAAGCCGCCGCTAGGACTTGAGGGCCATGATAGTAAGGACAGCTTGGGCAGGGAGGACAGACATTCCCCCCTGCTGCCGCGCCCCTCTCCTCCCCACGCCTTTGACATCGCTGTGGGTCAGCTCGATGGTGGACTGGGTACCACGTGGGTCAGCCAGGAGCGAGAGCACAGAGGCGCTTCAGTGCTGGGGCCCAGGCTTTGTCCGGGAAAGAGACCTGAGCCTGGGCTTGGGCCTGAGTCAGCCGCGGCTTTAACACCCTGGGACAGTTACAGCCTCCCTGTAGGCTTGAGCGGCAGAGTCCAGCTTCAGGCTCTGCACAGGGGGCAGGGAGCACCCCGCAAAGGCCTCCCCCCGCTCCCGCTCGGTCCCTCGGCTCCTTCTCTCCCTTCTTAGAGGACAGGTATCCCCGTGGGACCCAGATGTCACACAGACAAAAATATCGCGGCACTGGTTCGGGTGTTTTTCTTCTCCAAGCTCCTGTTGACGGGTAACTGCCACTGTGACAGTGCTGAGGGGTGACTCGGCCGTGGGGGCTGCCCCTCCTCAACAGAATCCCATGGGAGTGGGCTCCTGGCAGGTTCCGCTCCCGTCACTCGCTCTCTGCCCCTCTGCCCTCCCTCCCGCCTTCTGCCTTGGGTCTGGCAACGTGGTCTCGGCTGACACCTGACCCCCGCCATAGCCCCGTCAGCCCCTGCAGCCGTGAGCCGGGTACATGCCGGCTCTGCCGTATTCTACCCGAGCACAAGGCAGACTCAGCCGCACCCCGCTAAACGCTGGGTTCTGAGAGCCAGCACAGTAACGGCCGGGTGTGGACGTGACCTTTGAGGAAAACTGAAGGGAAAGAACTGCTGAGAAGCCCCGTCCTGCGATGAGCAGGAAATGGGATCGATTGGACTTGTGTTTGTTCTGATT